TATAGTCCTGTCAGTAGCGGACTGGTATGGGCGAGTAGTACCGCATGGATCTGGGCAGTAGGGCGGGTCAGTGCGTCGGCGATATTCGAGGCTCCTTTTTTATAGGTGACTGTATAATGGAAATTCGACTCGAGAAAATCGAGCCACCGAATCTGTCGTGGGTTGAGGTGGGGCTGTGCACGGAGGTACTGTAGGGATCGATGGTCTGTCCGTACTGTCACGTCTGCGCCGGTCAAGTAGCAGCGCCACACTTTGAATGCATGCACGATCGTGAGCATTTCGCGGTCGTGTATTGGGTAATTTCGCTCAGGTGGATGCAGTTTGCGTGATTCGTATGCGATGGGTTGGAGGCCGTTGCCGAAGTCCTGTAACAGTACAGCTCCGATGGCGATGTCGCTCGCGTCGGTAACAACCTCGAAGGGGCGATGTGGGTCAGCGATGCGAAGGACGGGTGGTGAACAGAGAACAGTTTTCAGGGCAGAGAAGGCAGCATGCTCTTTCTCCCCCCACGTAAAAACGACCCCCTTACGCAGTAAATCAGTGAGAGGGGCTATTAAGCGTGCCATGTCGGGGACGAACCGACGAACGTAATTAACGAATCCTAAAAAACTCCGTAGTTCCGTGATGTTCGTCGGGGGATGCCACGATTTTACGGTATCCAGCTTCTTAGGGTCAATCTCAACCCCAGCCTGAGAAATAACGTGTCCTAAAAATTCTAGTCTGTCCCGAAAAAACTCGCACTTGGAGCCCTTGGTTAATAACCGATGTGCCTCTAAATTTTTAAAAACTGCTTCGAGATCTACTAAGTGCTGCTGCTGGTCCCGACTATAAACGAGAATGTCGTCGAGGTAAACGATCACGCATTTATCTAAGAGTGGCCTAAACGCCTCGTTCATGGTCATCTGAAATGTTGCAGGCGCGTTGGTTAGCCCGAAAGGCATCACTGTGTACTCGAATGACCCGTACCTAGTCCTAAATGCTGTCTTTGCGCAGTCCGATGGTTCGACCCGAATCTGATGGTAACCCCCGCGTAAGTCTATTTTCGAAAATACCCGTGCTGTTCGCAGTTGGTCGATCAGTTCGTCGGCGCGGGGGATGGGGTACCGCGATTTGACTGTTACCCTGTTAAGCGCTCGGTAGTCAATGCACATGCGAAATCCTCCGTCTTTTTTCGGTGTGAACAGTATCGGTGCGGCGAACGGTGACGAGCTCGGTCGGATAAACTGCTTCTCTAACAGGTAATCTAACTGCTTCCTTTGCTCGTCGAGCTCCGGTTGTGTCAGTCGGAACTGGCGTTGTACAGTTGGCTGTGCCCCCGGTTCTAACTCGATCCTATGGTCATGCGCCCGCTGAGGTGGCAGCCCTTGCGGTAAGTCATCCGGAAAGATACCCGGGAACCGTTTCAGTAGTGCGTGCAGTTCGGGTGGTACAGCTGCCAACACTTTCTGAAAATCGCTCGGCTGCTCCTCTTTTTCCACTAATGCTATATCCACTGCGTACACGTCAGCTCCAGCAGCGACAGCCCGTTTCATCGTGATGGCGTTGACCTGGACCGTCGAAGACTCGGGTGGCTGCCAGCGAGGTAGGACGACCCAGTTACCATTACTTCGCACTGTGCAGCTACCCGTCGTCCAGTCAATTCGCGGGTTATACCGTCGCAGCCAATCACGTCCCAATAAAATGTCGTGCCCATCCAGTGTCGTTGCGAGCATTTCCTGTGTAAACCCGAAGTTCCCTCCGCAGCGGACTTTTACGCGCTCCACCTTTTCCCGTATGGCCAGTGGTGTTCCGTCGACTAAGCGTGCGTCTATCTCCGGTAAGCATCGGTTAAGTGTTAACTGTAATCTCCGTGCGGTTGCGGTATTAACTAAGCTGTGACTTGCTCCTCCGTCAATAAAAATCTTCACTGCTGCTCCCTGTATTTTCCCGTAGATCAGTACTGGGCAATCCGTCGCTGTACCCTCCTTATTCATCCGAGTCCGATCGATGGCGTGAATCGGTACTGTGACTCGGTGAGGGTCGGTGTGGTTGGGCGAGCAGGCAGTCTCGTCAGTAGTTGGCCCAACTTCTACAGACTGCTGGCGTTTCCCTGCCTCTGAGACTCCCTCCCCTGCTCTGCTCCTCGGCGCCTCAGCTCCTCTGGGCATTCGCTCTTGCGATGGCCCGGCCTGTTGCAAGCAAAGCAGCGCCCCTTAAACGGTGCGGCAACTGCATTCGTTGCAACGGCGTGTACAGTGGCGTGCTCGGTCGGTCCCCGAGGGCGATGTCCGTAGTAGAACCCCGGTCTCGGTCGGCGTAGAATGTCGATCTTCTCGGCGAGCGCAAGAATCTCGTTGAAATTAGAGAGTCCGCGCAGCATTATTTCGTGCGAGATATCCGGCTTCAGCCCTCCGACGTAACGGTCCACCCGCTCCGCTTCGTGCATGTAGCCGACCTGCTCGCAAAGTGCGAGAAAACCGCTTGTATAGTCTTGAACTGACCCGAGCTGGCGCCAAGTGCGCAATCTCTGACGCGCCGAAATTGAAGCCGCGATCGGCGCAAAACGCGCCCGAAGCCCTGCGCACCACGCATCCCACGTGCTGTATTGGGCGGTCTCGCAGAACGAACTCCACGTGACAGCTGGACCCGTGGGCCCTTCCTCGTGCGACGGTGGCTCGTAGGCGCGTGGCGACGTCACGATGACTCGCCACCAGTCCATGGCGGGGCCCCTTAGCAGCGAAACTGCATACCGGATCTTCGCGGCGTCTGACTCGACGTAATTCGCGTCGAAGAAGACGTTCATCGTGAAGACCCACGATTGAACTGTCGGACCGCCGCATTGGCTTGGGTCGAAGCAGGGCAGGCGTTGCGGCTTGAGCGGCATTGGTGCTATGATGGCGTGTTCGCCACTTGTCGCCGCAAATTCCACGTGCCGACGGGCTTCTCGGGGCTCCCGTGGGCTTGGTGCGATCGTGTTTCCTCCCATGCCAGGCATCGGCTGGGCGGCGCCATCACTGGCTGCGCCTGAGCGCTGTCCCATGCTGTCGTGTTGTGTTGGTGTGCCGGACGAGATGACGATCGGCTCATCCGAATGTGCAGATACATTTGTTGGTGCGTGTGATGTCGTCGGTATGTTCACCGTGGACTGTTGACGGGCGGAGTCACGTTCCGCCGTGAGAGTCGCGATTTCAAGCGCCGAATCCTCCAGTTGACGCACGAGACGATCAAGTTGCTCCTGCGTCAATGTGGCGAGCGTGAAGTCGGCCATGGCGGGGGTGTCGGGCAAGCTCAGCGAGAGCCTCGGTCGTGGCCGTGCGTGCTTGCGAGAGAGCACTACGAGCGGCGGTGCTGTATCGCTGAGAGACGTCTACCCCCCCAAAAAATTGAGATAGTGGGGAAGCGAAGGTGTGGATGCGGTCCGAGATGAGATCGTAGGCTCTGAATACCAAGTGTTACGAGTGCAATTGAGTGAGCGAACGAGAATTGCACTATCGAAGCAAGAATACAATGAGCGAAGGCATGAGCGAAGAATATATAGCGAAACTACAGTGGTAACGGTAATGGTCTGTGGTAGTCGCGCGACGAGCCTGGGACTGAGGTTTGGGAAAGTGTCGAAGCGTAGGCCCGGAGCGCGGGTTACCAGCCGAGCCGTGAGGTCGGGATGCGATGTGCGAAAATGGCGGGATGATTATCGATGCGATGGTCGCGAGTGGTAACGGTGCTGACTGAGGTGCTAGAGTGATGTACGCGTTGAGCAGGGATGCGAAGTAAGGAAAAGGGATTTTCCTTACAAGAATAGAGTTTGCGTGGCTGCAGAGAAGCATTTCGTAGAGCTCCAACTCCCGTTAGAGCAGAAATCTCTGCAGTGACCGCGTCTCGGAGTCGTTCGGATGCACTACGACTCCAGGTGGTGCCGCGACTGAAGCAGAACTAGGACCACGTGGCAGTCATAGGAATTAGAACCAACAGTCCGTGAACTGAAATCTAAAATGCCCGTTACATGGCTGTGCGAGGTTCGTCACGCTGAATGGCTCGAAGACATCTACCCTCCTGTCTTACGCGATGTCGAAATTCGTCAGATCCAAAGGGATTCAGGCGAAAAACTTGCAGCAGGTAACGTGCTTGTGTCGCAAGTGGTGCTGACTTTCGCTCCTGTCTGACTTGGTTCACACAGTTGCTGAAACTCTGATGCCCTCGAGTTTTTCAACGGTGAAATAAAGCTGTACATTGGTCGGGATGGTTATTGAGCAAACGAGGGGAAATTTGACCCACCCTTCGGATAACCAAGCCACGGGGACAATGCGAACTTGGTAAACAAAGCGAATTCGAATTTCAACTACAGTAGTGTTGTAACTATCAACCCTCGGTTGTTTCGATTTCGATGAGCAACACAAACCACTGAAGAGAACGAAGCAGATGATGCTAAGGAATCCTGAGGCATTTCAAGAATTTGAGATGCCTCAACACAAACCAAGCCAGGAATACGCCCTCAGTAAACAGATTCTTCCCAAGTCCCGCGCGAGTTCCAGCATTCGCTGGCAGCGAAATAGCTCGCCCTCGAGTTTGTCGACAGTCCCGCAAGTCTCCTCGGGCGTCATTGTCAAATCCGTTCAACCTGTTCTCCCTCCCTCCTCAACTTCTTCTCACATCCTCTGCTGACTCTGCAATGGCTTCCGCTGCGAACGCCGTCGCCCTCCCGCCATGCCTCTTGAGGCAACGGGGACGGGACCGTCATATATTAGGTTACGAACTTCAGCGAGATGCGTTCAGACTGTCTCCCATGTGCCGCTCGACTCACAAGCTTTTCATGATTCAGGAGACGGTTGAAAAACTACAATCTTGTGGAAGCAGACGCTACTACGTATCCATTCAACTTGCCAGTCGCAAATTCCTGTTGCAAGAGCAAACACCCGGTGTATGTTCCGGTGAACGCGGCGGGCCTCGTTCCAGTGCTGACGCTTATCAGTCACGCGAACTGAGACCTTGCTCGCTTCAGATTCACTCTAGTAAATACGGCGATCATGACGAGCCGTCGCGTTGCCACTCGGCGGTGCTTGACTTTTCCGCTGTGGCTCCTTATCCTTTCCCACGTGGCATCCACGTGTCGTGCGTGTCTTCCGCCGCCTATGTTCTCGGCAGCAGCAGACGGCTCCCCTCCGAGCCCTGATTTGGAGCCCAGCTTTCACTGGCTAACCGATGAGGAGCAAATCGCCATGGCGCGCTTCGCTGTGGCACAGCACAACGCCGCCAAGGTGAGGCGCGATTCGCTCTCAATCGAAGTGTTGCGTCTCACTCTTCGACTCTAGCTGTCTCACCGCCGCTGCGTGTGATGAGTCTGTTTTTTAGTCGACTCATAATCAGTCTCGTCACACGCGGGTTTGAAACGATTAAAAAACAAGTGTTGCATCTCACTCTTCAACTCCAGCTGTCTCACCGCGACCCGCAGAGCGAGGCCACGGCGAGGCAGGCGACAGGCGACAGGCAGCAGGCTGCAGACGACAGACGACTCTCCTTCTTTTAAGACTCTCCTTCTTTTATGACCCTCCTTCTTTGAAGACTCTCCTTTCAAGAGCAGCACTCCTGAACTTGAGCTGGCTGAGGGTTGCACCTTTAAAGAGTCCCCTGCTTGCACCACAGCAGCACAGCTGCTCCTTTTGCCCTTCTCCCCACCCCCCCTTCTCCCCATCTCCCCTTCTCCCCATCTCCCCTTCTCCCCGTTCGCCCTCCCTTCTCTCCTCAATTTCTTCCCTCATCCCCTCAACCCCCCCCCCTCTCCTCCCCCCCTTCTCCCGCCCCCCCACGCCAGAACGACAGCCTACAACCGGTCTTGATTATGGCTGTAGAGTATATAGACAATGCGAGCACAGGCAATGGCAGCGCAGGCAACTCAAGCGCAGGCGGGGAGGAGTACCTTGTGTCACTGGCTGCTCTCAACCTGCTGCGCGGCCGCACTGCCTTCTTCGACGCCCTCCTCTCCCGCCGCCCTCTCGTGGCCGCGCAATCCGCGCTCCCTGCTGCTGCCCCTCCAATAACAGCAGCAGCAGCAGCAGCAGCCACACCGGTGGTAACCACAGCAGCAGCAGCAGAAGGAGAAGGACGAGGAACAGTGGCAGCAGCGGCAACGGCGGCGGCAGCAGCAGCAGGAGGAGGAGAGGGAGGGGAGTATGTGCTGCGGTCGGTCACGATGCAGTCGTTCACCTCCCCTCCCGCTCCCTCCCTCATACTCAAAATAGGAGAGGGAGGGGAGTATGTGCTGTGGTCGGTCACGATGCAGGCCGGGTCGGAGCGTGCGAGCACGCGCGAGGAGCAGGAGAAGGCGTTGAGGCACGTGGTGTCACTGCCGCCCATAGTGTGTGGCATTGAGTTCACTTACGTTGACCCGTCAGATGCTGACGTGCAGCGCGTGGCACGAGGGGCGGTGGCGAGTGAGAATGAGAGGCAGGTGAGTGGTGGGATGGGATGGGGTGGGGTGGGGTGAGGTGGGGTGGGCTGGGCTGGGCTGGGCTGGGCTGGGCTGGGCTGGGCTGGGCTGGGCTGGGCTGGGCTGGGCTGGGCTGGGCTGGGCTGGGGTGGGGTGGGGTGGGGTGGGGTGGGATGGGATGGAATGGGATGGGGTGAGGGGGTGGGGTGGGGTGGGGTGGGATGGAATGGGATGGGATGGGGTGGGATGGGATGGGATGGGGTGGGATGGGGTGGGATGGGATGGGATGGGATGGGGTGGGATGGGATGGGATGGACTGGGATGGGATGGAATTATCCCTCCACAAGGGTCAGTTGGCAATTCATTCCCTTCTCTCCATGGTCATGCTCAGACCCATGCTCAGCCTGTCTACTTCTTTCCGTCCTCCCCCCCCCCCCCCCTCCTTCCCTCTCCCTCCTTTCGACCCCACAGGGAAGCACGCTGCTACTGATCTCGCTGCTGGAAAGCCAACGTTGAGGCACATGTTCAGGCACTTCCTCGCCCTCTCTCCAACCCTCTCCCCCCCGCAGGGCAGCGCACTGCTGCTGATTCCCGTGCTGGAGGCACAGGTGGTAGTGCCGGGATACAGAGAGTAACCATCCCAAGGCCTATCCCACGACTCAACCACTCGCAGTATTTGGTGTGGCACACTGATGCCTCCCTCCCCTCCTTCCCTCCCCTCCTTCGCTCCCCTCCTTCCCCCCCCTCCTTCCCTCCCCTCCTTCCCTCCCGTCCTTCCCTCCCCTCCTTCCCTCCCCTCCTTCCCTCCCCTCCACACACAGGGTAGCGCGCTGCTGCTGATCTCGGTCGGTGCTGGAGGCACGGGATACCCGGGATACAGAGACAGAGACAGAGACTACACGCTCACACTCTTGCTGCTGGCTCCCTTTCTTTCCTTCCCTCCCCCAACAGGGCACAGCGCTGCTTTTGATCTCGGTGCTGGAGGCACGGTTGGTGATACCAGTACGCTCACACTGTTGCTGCTGGCTCCCTTCCTTGCCTTCCCCCCCCACAGGGCACAGCATTGCTGCTGATCTCGGTGCTGGAGGCACAGGTGTTGGTGCCGTCATACAGATACAGAGAGTACAATCTCACCCTGCTGGCAGCAGATAACACAACCGGCATGGCGGCACACTATGCCACGCACGCACTAGATTACAACAGTGGCGCCATGCCTGATACTTCACAAGGAGGGAATGCGAGTGGGAGGGGGTTGGTGAATGTGACGGCGTTTGCGGTGGTGGCGGGGACGCAGCGGAATGCAACAGCGGGGGAGATGGGCGTGGCGGCAGCAGGGGGGTGTGCCGGGAGGAATGCGAGCAGCAGCAGCGCTGCTGGTGGGAATGCAGCAGCAGCAGCGTTCAACAGCAATAGCAGTAGCAACAGCAGCAGCGGCAACACAAGCAGCAACAGCAGTAGCAGCAACAGCAGCAGCAGCAGCAGCAACAACAGCAGCGGCATCAGCAGTGGCGGTGGTGGGGTGGTGGAGTGGGACTTGGCACGGGCCATGGCAGGGGTGTGTGTGGATGAGGGGTGGGTGCTCATTCCTGCTGCTTACCCCCTAGACACCTGGACGCCTCCCCCTGCCTCCCCTAACGCTTCCTATAATGCCTCCTCTAATACCTCCTCTAATGCCTCCTCTAATACCTCTGCTAATGCCTCCTCCAATGCCTCCTCCAATTCCTCCTCCAGTTCCTCCTCCAATTCCTCCTCCAATGCCTCCTCCAATTCCTCCTCCAATTCCTCCTCCAATATCTCCTTCAATGCCTCTGCTACTGTCCCCTATAACGACTCTTACAATGGCTTCTCCATGCGCTCCCTCGCTCTCTTCGCCTTGGCCGAGCGCAATGGACAGAACAACATCACCTCGCATTTGACCCTAATAGATGTCCTTGCAGCGAGGGCGAATGTGGTGGAGGGGGCAGGGATCAACTACAGCGTGACTGTAACAGCAGCAGCACAAGCAGCACCTGTAGTGTTCCAGTCGGTGTCTGGAGGAGCAAACATGACAGGTGTGAGGGAGAGCAAGGAAGTGGCGACAGTGAAGGTGCTGGTGTGGCAGCCGGTGCCCTTCACGGCTCACCGCCTGCTTGACTTGTTCGTGTTGGGTGATGGAATGAGAAATGGCTCTGCTTCTCCACCCCCCGGTCACACCTCCCTGGGAAACTACACGGCTGTGCCCAAGGCTGGCTGTTCTGGTGCTGCGCCGATCGGATTTGTGACCGTGCTTGGGGTGCTTGTATCCCTTGGCTTTGTGATCGTGCTCTTGTAGAGAGGCAAATGGTGTACATAGAGATTCACGGTACGTGCCGCATGTAATTAACTCTCACTGCTGCGCATGCACATCTGTGCTGGATGGTGTACATATGATCTCTTGTGCAAGCTCTGCAATATCCAGTTTCCTTTCCATGTGCTTGGTTGTACCTCAGCTTGCGAATATAGCATAAATGAAAAACATCAACACCTTCACCTCACATATAAACAAAACATCAATACTTAGCAAATTTACAAAACGTCAGTAGCATTAATAAATACACTATGATGAGCCCTCTGCTTAACTGTGCTTAGCTGGTCGAGCTCCAGCCTCGAGCAGTAGGAGCAGCAGCAGTAGCAGCAGCAGGAGTATCATGTATGGTTTGCCGACCATTGCGATCCCCAATGCTAGCACCTGCTGACATCCCATCCCATCGCCATGGGTTTAGCGTGCATCACACAGATGCACACGACCCCTACAGTCACACCAATTCCACTACCACTATAAGCACACAGCATCCTTCCTGCTCGTCCCTGCACACCCATTCCTCACACATGCAACCCTCACACATGCAACCCTCACACCTGTGTATCTTGGTTCCACTCACTCACTACCCCAGCTACCCTGCTCCCTCTCTCCTCTCAAAGCACGAAGTGCCTCAGAGGGTTTGTTCAATTCAATGCCCTGACCCATGGCATGGGGAACATGATCTGACCCCATGCTACCGCTGTGACACAATGTGACTCCATGCTACCGCTATGACACAATCTGACCCCATGCCATCACCGTCACACAATCTGACCCCGTGCTATCGCACTGACTCGCTGTGATCCCATACTAACCCACCACGCCCATCTGACCTAATTGCACCGCTCCTCTCCCACCCGCTCACATACCAGGGAGACGATGGATCAACAACGCTGTACGATACCAGACAAGGGAACTGCCTGCACAGAGAAGCCGGAATGCCCGGTTGCCACTCGGAAGAGGCATAGTAAATAGACTCCAGATTCGGAGCATTGATGAACAGGTTGCTGCTGCTGCTGCTGCTGCTGCTGCTGCTGCTGCTGCTGCTGCTGCTGCCGCTGCTGCTCTCTTCTTCCCCACCAAAGCACCTCCAAAACCGAGAGTCTTCCGGATCCTCCGGGTTGTCTTTGTAACTAAACCCCCGAGTTCTATAACGGTTCACACCAACGCTGAGGTGGCGCAGCTGGCTCCACTCCACCCGCATGCCCTCCAGAGGCCAGCCGTACCTCAATACAAGTGACTCCACTGTAGGCGCTATGCTGCTGGGGAGATCGGTCACGGCGCGTTGGGATTCGGAACAGGGACGATCATGCCGCTGGACTTCTCGATTGGTTGGTCCGTTCAAGCAGACGGACTGAACGGAAGCCAATGGGAGCGAAGAAACGAGAAGCTGCGAGCGGCCAATGAGAGAGAGTGAGTCGAGAGAGAGGCGGCTGTTGCATGTGCAATCCACGACAAGACACTTTGCAGCAGCAGAGAAGCTCTTCAAAGAGGCAGGGAGGACAAAGCGGAGGAGGAGTGCTTGTCTGTCAAAGCAGACTGTGATAGCTCGAGCAGCGGTGAACTTGAAGTCGAGGGTAGTAGAGCCAGAGCCATCTTTGGAGGAGGCGAGAGCGAGTTCATGCAGCTGCGGTGCGATGGATGAAAGAAAGGAGAGATCATTTTCGTCGCACTCGAGGATGCTAAGAATCCTTAAAGCCCGAAAGCTCGTTGGTTTGAGTTTGCCTAGTTGCCACGTCCCATGGCCTAGCTTCAGCCGCTGCAGCTGCTCAAACCCCTCAAGGACGCCTGGATACATCAGCTGATTCTCCTGAATTTTGAAACAAACCTGTTTAGGAAAGTCTATATTCATCTCGTACCCCCCCTTAATACGATAAGGCTTAACAATCGTGGGTGGAGGCTCCTTGAGCCCAAGGCCCAGGCTTGTGAAGGAGCGCGCAGAGGGGCCCAAGAGAGGGCCGAGGCAGCGCAGGTGACGGGAGTCGCTGAGAACGAAATTGAGGGGCGCGTGGGGGGCGTGCTGGAGGAACACAGAGAGCGTTCCCGAGGGACGTGTGGGCGCAGGGTCTAGGCGGTTGAGAGGCCGCGTCATGGGCTCCAAGTCCTGCTCTCACACGGTGTGACAGAGAGATGGAGAGAGATGGACAGAGAGATGGAGAGAAAGAGATGGAGAGAGCGAGAGATGGAGAGAGAGAGAGAGAGAGAGAGAGAGAGAGAGAGAGAGAGAGAGAGAGAGAGAGAGAGAGAGAGAGAGAGAGAGAGAGAGAGAGGGAGGTGGAGAGACATAGCGATGAGAGGAGCGACTTTGTGAGTCAAATGAAAAGTCTCATGAGTGTTGCTTGGCAACGTCAATGGCTCGAAATCATGCTCACACGCAGCGATGGACACGAGGATGGCTGAGGAGGCTTAGCCGTGACCGGGCCCGCTTCATACCTCAGCACCCAGAGAAGAATCTTACCATGGATTACGGGGAGCAATGAGAGACTCACGGGGAGCAATGAGAGACTCACGGGGAGCAATGAGAGACTCACGGGGAGCAATGAGAGACTCACACGGGGAGCAATGAGAGACTCACGGGGAAGGAGGCGACATGGTGGAGGAGCCTCTTGCAGACCATGGCGCAGCGCAGCAGAGGCCAGCAGGAGCCGAAGGTTCTCAATGCGTCCGGGGAGCCACCCCGATTCAGCACTTTATGTTTCAGACGATTCAAACGTCGAACTAAACGCTTTCTGCGTCCCTCGTGTGATTCGCCCAGCAGCACGTGGCGGAAGATGATGTGCCAGATTGTTGGCTACTCTTAGCCCTTAGTCCACTCTATGCGAACCACTTAAGTCACACTAAGTGATCTCCGCCGGGCCTCGTCCTCGGGTCCACGGTTCTCCAAGTGTATACGCACTAGAGTAGTCCCACACTTATATGCGCAGCGTCTTGTTGATCGATGATCTCGTCTCCACAAATACTCTTCACGTCAGTACGATGAGAGAGGAACCTTTTCACACGAATCAATGTTTTCAAAAGGTTGATGACAAATAAGAACAAGCAAAGATTTATACTAACCCACTGAAATCAAAAGCAAACAGCCCACCAAATTGATAGCTGGAAACATACTCCGAAATGCCAGCTTTCACCCTGCGAAATGAGTTGAAACATGCTCGCCCACACTTGTTCCTATGGGCCATACTTGCTCGCGAACGCTCGTGGACGCTCGTGGTGGCTCATGGTTTTTCGTGGCGACAGCTTCGTGACAGCTCACGGAAACACCTGAAGAATTCGCGCAGTTACGCGACGAAATTGCGAAGTCGTCGAAATCCTCCTCGCACAATTCGCACCTGCGTCGAAATTAATCGCGCACTTGGTGAAACACCCTGGCGAATATTCTCCTCGGTTAATGCAGACAAAACGCTCGAGGGTCCCACGAAATCCAACCTGGACCCACGAATTCTCGGCTTTTTACCTCGCGCCACCTGCACACCCCACTTGCGCGTGTGGCGAATCCATCTGCAGCCTCAGGCCTCGCGTGTGCACATGCTGGCACACTTCGATCCTTTGGCGCCACTCCCATGATTGCGCCAGAATCAGTACAGTGCTCGGCACCCCTTCAATATCTTGACCAGGGGCTAAATTCCCCGAACTACCATGAACAAATACGAAATAACGAACGCACTCATGAAAACACACGAAAACGCACCTCACAAACTGTACCAGAAAAGTCATGAACTCACACGGAATTACACGAACACTTCACGAAGCAGACTCATGAACATTCACGACACTATCACGAAAACTCGTGACTCGCAGAACACATGAAATAACACGAACACAGACAAACACGCATGAACTCTCACAGACTCAAATCTTTCACGAAAATGCACATAACTCATGAACCGCTGGGGCGATTCACAAACCGTAAACACCCAAAAGTAAAGCACAAAAACTCATATCTCATGAAACACAAATTACCTTAACTCCAACCGTCAGTCGTGGGTGGTTGTTACGAACCACTCCAACACAGATGGGGCCGGGCAGCAGATCAACCACGTCCAGGATCTGGTGGGTGGGAAAAAAAAGAGGATTTTTTATTCGATAAGAAGGAGAGAGAAAGAATGAGAGGCCAGTCCTCTGCGAGAGTCTCGTTCTTCCTGAGAAGGATGTGGTGTGCTAAGAAGCCGCGAGGGGAATGATCGGCTGGGAATCACGGTGCGCCTCTGTCTGCGGCATTGCTCTCACCTCGTGGCGCTTCTCGGCATCAAGGGTGCTGTGAGATTGAGAGCATGATCCCCCTTAAGCACCTCATCTCCATGGTCTGCCATCAGCGCCAATGATCGACGCAGGAAAAAACGCTGATTTCGGGAGGTTTCTAGAAACCACCCACAGAAAACAAGTACGGCCCTACACACCAATCTTGGTTTCTGTCCAGGAGGTCTCTTAGCATGCAGTGAAGGCGAGGGTTTGCTACGCAGGCCGCATGATTATGGTGGTGTTTCGTTTCCGCATAGCTTTTATGCGGCAACGGACGCAGAATCTATGCGCCAGGAAGCTTCCAGCCACTTCATCATTCCACCAGTTCCTCGAAGTTTCGCCATCGACGAGCACAGCAATTGCTCTGGTTCCAGTAGCCATTGTCGGACCAGAGCAATTGCCGTAGCTGTTGAATTACCGCGACGTTAGGTTCCACAACTTTTGTACGCTCAACGCGGTCAACTCTGTTTCGTCACGGTGCAAATTGGTAAATATTGAGAAACGCTTTTCACCGTGTCGAACCGTCCTGAACCACGATACAAGAACTGTAAATGTACAACCTGACCTCGCCCTTAGCTTCTCCTAGGTTTTTTCCGTTTCTCGTTCAGATTCAGACCCGATTTCCTCTGCTTTGGGTCTCCCCGCACGCTGGCCGCCGTGCTACAACTGGGGCAATCTCAGAACACTTCTAGTGAACCACACGTAATGCGTCACAAATCCAGCGTTGGATTTCGTTTTGATAGACCTTTCTC